AAAAAAAAAAAAAAGAAATGTCCTGTTCTGATTTGGTGTTAGATCCTTAGCTTTTCAGTACTTTATTTTGTCCAAATACCCTATAGAGCTCCTTATTTACCATTTACAGTGACTTTTCATTAATTGAAAATTATGAGCAGCTGGGATCTTCTTTTGAACTTTTTTCCCAAAGTAGTATGCTGGACGTTTAAATTGGTTCTTTTTTTTTTTTTTTCTGAGACAGAGTCTCACTCTTTCACCATGAGTAGAGTGCCATGGCATCATAGTTCACAGTAGTCTCAAACTCTTGAGCTCAAAAGATCTTCTTGTCTCAGCCTCCCAAGTAGCTGGGGTGATGGGCACCTACCACATCTGACTGTCTTTTTTTCTGTCTTTGGTGGAGACAGGGTCTCAGTCTTGCTCAGGCTGTTCTTGAACTCCTAAGCCCAAGCAATCCACCCATCTCGGCCTCCCAGAGTGCTAGGATTATAGGCATGAACCACCACGCCCAGCTTTAAATTGGTTCTTATAATCCTCTCTGCTGTTTTCTTATTTCCTCTCTAAAATGTTAAGATACATCTGTTTTCAATGTATTCCCTCTGCAGTGGTGAGCACTCTAACTAAAAAAAGACCCTCAGAGTCCATATATGGTGTTATTGTTGGGAGGGAGGGGGGAGAATGTGAGAGAATATAGGTGTATATTATATAATACTTGATTTTCTGGAAATGCCAAGTATCAAAAGCTCTTCTGTGCTCTAGGATTTCTGGTAGTAAGCATGAGCATTATTTATCATTAACCCAAGATTTGTGGCCATTTGTGGTCTACTTCTTTGTCTTTGTTAAATGTAGATGCTTCTGTGCAGCGCTGAAGATGATACCCATTCTTCTCCAGAAGAAGCAGTTACCTCTACTGATCTTAAAACAGTCAAGAAAAATGAAAAGGAGAGCCAGAAAAAATATCTCTGGAAGCATGGCAGTAAGTCACCGGCCCCTTGCTCATTCTGGCTGACTACATTTATCTATTGAATCTTAATTCCTCGTGAACCAAGGACCCCTTACCATACTCAGGCCTTTGGTTTGTTAGGCTTTCCGATGCTGTAAAGGGAAGGAGTCATGTCATGAGCCAGTGGCTTATAGCATGACCTTTCTGTATCAAATTCAGATAAGTATGTGATGACTATCAATCATATATATACTTCATTGTGTTGTATTTATTTTAGTTACTCCACCACTTAAGAATGTCAGGAAGAAAAGGTTCCGGAAAGTAACAAAAAAGGTTAGTTGCATGCTATTTGTGTGTCTGCTGGGTAAATTAGAAGAGGATTGAAAGCAGGATGGAAAGGGAGAAAGTCAGCTGGGAATTAACTTGTTCCTTCATTCATGTGTTCAGTAAATGTTTATTGAATGTGAGCTAAATGCCAGGCACTATGTGTTAGCAGATGGGAATGTGTAGTATAGCAGTGAATAAAAACAAACCTGATCCTTGAGGTTATAGCCTAGTCATTAGGGGTCTGGAAAAATCATGAATTGGTAATTTCTGCTAATGCTTTTGGTTTTCAATTGCAAGATCTAGATTTAAAGTGAACCCATCCAGAACCTAAGAATTGGGAATTGTAGTTATATTTCTAACCCTACTTAAAGCTTATAGGACCTTGGGGAAGCTACAGGAGTACTGTGGCTTGGCTTCTTCTTTTTTACTCTTTTTTTTTTTTTTTTTGAGACAAAGTCTCACTCTAGGCTAGAAGTGCCGTAGAGTCAGCCTAGCCCACAGCAACCTCAAACTCTTGGGCTCAAGTGAACCTTTTGCCTCAGCCTCTCAATTAGCTGGGACTATAGGTGCCTGCCATAACACCTGGCCAGTTTTTCTATTTTTGGTAGAGACAGGTAGAGACAGTCTTGCTTAGACTGGTCTTGAACTCCTGAGCTCAGGCAATCCACCTGCCTTGGCCTCCCAGAATGCTAGGATTACAGGGTGAGCCACTGCACCCAGCCTGAGAGTTCTTTTGTATTATAAATACTAGAAGTCTTTTGTCAGATAATGTAGTTCACAAATAGTTTCTCCCAGTCTATATCTTCTCTTTTCATCCCCTTCTTAGGATCTTTCAAATACCAAAACTTTTTAGTTTTGATGAAGTCCAACTTACTGGGTTTTTTTTTCTTTTAAAGATCTTGCTTTGGTGTTAAGTCTAAGAACTCTTTGCGGCTCAGCGCCTATAGCTCAACCAGCTAAGGCGCCAGCCACGTACACCTAAGGTGGTACGAATCCCCAGCCCGGACCCACCAAACAACAATGACGGCTGCAACCAAAAAATAGCCGGGCGTTGTGGTGGGCGCCTGTGGTCCCAGCTACTTGGGAGGCGGAGGCAGGAGACTCGCTTGAGCCCAGGAGTTGGAGGTTGCTGTGAGCTGTAATGCCACGGCACTCTGCCCAGGGGGACAGCTTGAGGCTCTGTCTCAAAAAAAAAAAAAAAAAAAAAAAACTCTTTGCTAGCCCAGATCCTGAAAATTTTCCTCTATGTTTTTAAAAGATGTTTTACATTTTATATCTCAACCTGTGATTGATCTATTGTTGAGTTAATTTTTGCAAAAGGTATGAGATTTAATGGCTGGGTGCAGTGGCTCACTTCTGTAATCCTAACACTCTGGGAGGCGGAGGCAAGTGGATTGCCTAAGCTCAGGAGCTCAAGACCAGCCTGAGCAAGAGGGAGACCCCATCTCTAAAAATAGCCAGGTGTTGTGGTGTGCACCTGTAGTGCCACCTACTTGGGAGGCTGAGGCAATGAGGCAGGATCACTGGTGCCCAAGAGTTTGAGGTTGTTGTAAGCTGTGATGCCACAGCCCTCTATGGAGGGCGACAAAGTGAGACTCTGTCTCAAAAATAAAAATGACAAAAATAAAAGGTATGAGATTTAGTACAAGGGTTTATTTTTTTGTTTGTTTTGTTTTGTTTTTGCCTAAGGACATCCAATTGTTCCAGCACCTTTTGTTGAAAAGGCTGTCTTTCCATATTGTTTTGCACTTTTGCTAAAAACCAGTTAGGCATGTGTGTGGGTCTATTTCTGGATTTTCTATGCTGTTCCACTGATCCATGTGTCAATCCCTCCACCAGTATCACAGTGTAACTGTATAATATTGTTTTAGCTGTTCTGGAGCCTATACAATTCTATATAAATTTTAGAATAAGTTTGTCTGTGTCTAAAGAAAACCTTGCTGGAATTTTGATAGGAAATGCATTACACTTTCAGATCAATTTGGGGAGAATTGACACCTTCGCTCTGTCGAGTCTTCCAATCTATCAGTACAGTTGCCTTGGCTTTTATACTCTGTTAGTCAATAGCATTTATTGAGTGCCCACTAAATATAAAACTAAATTAAGAATAGTTATAGAGCTCTTTAAGCTTTCCTGGAGTAGAACAATTATAATATAACTTCATTGTTTATTGTCTTTTATTTCACAGCCCCTTGATTGCAAACAAATTGAAGAAATCAACTTTACTGAGGTAGAACAATCATACCTTTATTGTTTACCCTTAATGTGTTTGTTTTGCTTAATAGCTTATTAGTTTCAAACAAACCAAGTAAGTCATAAAGATTACTTTTAAGCTTGCTTTCTCACCCTAACCCCCACTCCCATATACATACACTGTGTTTGATTCATTGAATAATGAATTTATTGTTTGTTATCCAGTAGCTTCTAGGAAAGCATACAATGTGGCCAATGACCCCATATACTCAAATCTGCTTTTTTTCCTCCCATATTATTTAAAAAGCCATTCCTTAGAAGCCAGGGTTCATTTTTAGCAGCAGTTGTTTGCAGTTGCTTATCCCCCCTCAAAGTCTTAATTTCTATTTGTGGCATGACGAACTGGTTGCTGTGGAGATAATTATCTAAAACTGGATTCAAGGAAGAACATGTAGCTAAGATCCAGTTTTTGTAGGAACATCTCTAATAATGAAGATGGTGGGGAAGTGAAATCTGGGGATTTGAATCTTAGACCAAATTACTTCTAAACAGCTAATAAGGAATTATAGTTCTTTGTCAGTATTAATTGGGGAGAATAATTAATAGCTGAGATCCAAGGGCTGCACCTCTGAGATCTTTACCATAGAGTTGCAAATTGAAAAGATTAAATGTCTCAAGTAATTTGTTTAATTTGGAAAAAATAAAATTATTGTATAAAAATCTAGAACGTGATTATAAAATCCATCATAAGTAGCAGTACTTAAAGTAGAAATTTGGTTTGATGGACATCTAAAGAGACCTAATAATTTGAATTTACAGTAAGTAGGAAAAGGGCATTTCTGCAAAATGGAAAGTGTTAAATGACAGTATTTATATCTCTTTCCCCAACTTTAGTTCACTGACTCTCCAGATGTGGAAAAGGAAGTCAAGAGACTGCTGTGTTCAGATGCTGAAGCTGTCTGTGCCCGTATCCTTTATAAAAATACTTTTTATCAAAATTTTTTTAAAATATTTACTGCTTAGTTTGTTCCACCCTATATGCACATGCTGACAAACCTACTATTAGTATTGGTGTGCCAGTTTTGATGTGAGAACTTAAGATTTTTAGAAATGTTATGTTCTAGCTAGGAACAGTAACAGTAACATCATGTAATAGAAATTTATTTACTTGTATAATTCACTTTAAGGTACTCCTCCAAACTAGGAATCCACATACAAATAGCCTGAAGTTGGACTAAATTAAATAGCACTGTTAGCCAGTATCTCTTCTCTTTTAACTATGCCTTTTCCTTTCCTTCTTTGTTTATATTTATTTATTTATTGTAGAGACAGAGTCTCACTTTATCACCCTTGGTAGAGTGCTGTGGCATCACAGCTCACAGCAACCTCCAACTCCTAGGCTTAGGTGATTCTCTTGCCTCAGCCTCCCAAGTAGCTGGAACTACAGGCGCCCACCACAACGCCTGGCTGTTTTTTCCTTGCAGTTTGGCCGGGGCCGGGTTTGAACCCACCACCCTCGTATATGGGGCCGGCGCCCTACCCACTGAGCCACAGGCACCGCCCTTCCTTTCCTTCTTTATTTTCTTTGACTGCCTCCTCCTTTCAGGATGGGAAGTGATTTCTGAAGATGAAACCAAGGAAATTGAAAGTCAAGGTTCCATTCCAGGTTTTGTGTTATCCCCAGGCTATGAGCGGGGTCGTATGCCAGGTAATTTAGCTGAGGCAAAGCAGGTGCTTCAGATAGAACAGGTTTTGACTAGATATCAGATCATTCTCCATAGATGTGCAGGTAAATCATGGAAAAAAGATGCCTTTACCTTTGTTCCTTCTTTTTTTTTTTAGACAAAGTCTCATTTTGTCACCCTTGGTAGAGTGCCGTGGTGTCATAGCTCACAGCAATCTCAAACTCTTGGGCTCAAGTGATTCTCTTGCCTCAGCTTCCTGAGTAGCTGGAACTACAGGGGCCTGCCACAACGCCTGGCTATTTTTAGAGATGAAGTCTCGCTCTGGCTCAGGCTGGTCTCAAACCTGCGAGCTCAGGCAATACACCTGCCTCGGCCACCTAGAGTGTTAAGTTTTTTCTTTCTTATTGGTCCCTTAGTTCTTTAGAGGTTTTAGGTTGGTGTTCTAATATCACATCCACCACTGGTATTCTAACTTCCTACAGACCCTTGGATTATCTAGATATATGGATCATTGAATATGTGAGCAGATGTTACAGCGTTTTTCTTTTCCTGTCCTTTTTTGATGAAGGGAATAATCCTTCTGTAAGAAAGATGATTGCTAAAATGCACAGGTTGCCCAGTGAATTTGAATATAAGGAATATGGATTGTATCTGGAGAGGGAGTCATTTGGAAAGGTTCAGGTAGTTCACCTTCTTCTTGCTTAAAATCAATAGAATATGATATGCTTCGGGAGATGTTCAGTGATACTAGTAGTAACAGTGACGATGAGGATGAAGATGAGGATGACGATGACGACGACAACGATGATGATGACAATGATGACAACGATGACGATGATGATGACGACGACGACGACGATGATGAAGATGATGAAGACGAGGAAGTAGAAGAGGAAGAAGAATGTGAAGAAGATCTGGAAAGGGAGCTACAGGCTAAGTTTCTTGAATTTGGACAGTATGAAGCAAAAGAAGGTGCCAGTTCAGTAGGTAAGTTGGAGGGAAAAACAGGGATGGCTGTGCTAAAAGCTGACTCTAAATGCATCTTAGATGCAAGGCTGAGTTTAGAAGGTATTGCTAAAATGTGTAGTGAAGTGTTACTTGATTTGGGTCTTGGTCCATTAGTTTAGGCTGGGCTATATTTATATTCATCAAGTTTCTGTCGGTCTTTGTTAGTCCTCGAAATTCAGAAGCAGATTCATTATGTGGAGAAAAGCCTCCGCGTGATTCAGAGAAAAATTCAAAGACAGAATGATCTCATCATGAAAGTGGAAAACCTGACCCTCAAGGTAAGTTCTTGTTGGCTGATATAAAGAAATCTTGATACCTTACTTTCAAAATCCCATGTTTGTGTTTCCACTCATGTCATCTCTATGTAGCATTCTTGTTCATTCATGAATGTAAACAGTCTCTTAGAAATTCCTAGTAGAAGATAGCCCTTCAGCCAGAGTAATTTTGATCATCCAATATAAGCCTTTTGGGGAAGGGATCATGTGACTTAAAAATTGTCAGTATTTAACATTTACTATGTAGAATGCATGTAAAGAGCTAAAAATTATAATGTATCATCTCATTTTAGCCTCATATCCCCCCAATTTAGATACTATCACCATTCTCATTTTACAGATAAAGAATTGAAACTCAAAGAGGTTAATTAACTTGCCAGGACTCAAAGTAAATGGTTGGGCATAGATTGAACCATGTTGTTTGTACCAAAATGTATTTATTGCAGTAAGGGATGAGTAACTAAATTAGATTTTTTAATGCATGCTTGAATAAGAATATCCAGTTTTATTTTTATTTTATTTATTTATTTTTTGTAATGTAGTACAGAGTTTGTTTAATAGCCTAATATTTATTTTTTTAATTGTTGGAAATTCATTGATGTTACAAGAAACCAGGTTACACTGCTTGCATTTGTTAGGTAAAGTCCCTCTTATCCAGTTTTATTTTTAGTAATACACATTTAAGAGCTTCAACAAGAGGAAAATATGTGTTAGGCCATGTTTGCTTCCATTTTTATAGTGAGGGAAATTCTGAAGCATTTGCATAATTCCTTGCCAGCTTTCATTTTCTGTAGAACTGCAGTCATTGAAGGGGAGCAGCTTGACATAGACCTAAACCCAGTTTTGATGTGTTATTCTTTAGAATAACCAAAAAAGATAATAAATATGGAAATACTTTGAGAGATTCAGATATATTAGTATAATTACTGTTGTTGCCTGTTTTACTAGTCAGGAATAGTAATTGTCTGCCCTAGTGAGGGGAAATGGAGGAGTTGTCAGCACCAGAATCTAAGCCAGGTTGAATAGGTCACACAGCCAAAGGATTTGTGCTAAACTAGAAAAAGGTAACATGAAAGCATTCCATTTATTTATTTTAAGGCAAGAAAAAACAGTGTATAAAGTATATAAAATAGGATATCACTGTAGTTAGGGGGTATAGTTTTTAGGCTCCATAGCCCTTAAAAAGAATGCTTTTTGTATAACTGACAATTTTCTTACTTATCACATTACTTGCCAAACCCCTTGTCTCTCTTGGTCCTTTTCTCTTTGAGACTCAGCATTCATCAGTTATACAATTTGTTTTCCAGAATCATTTACAGTCTATGCTGAAGCAGCTGAAGGTGCAGGAAAGTCAAAAAACTGAGCAGGTGAGAAGTATGTTTCCAAATCTATCAGAAAACATTTGAGTTGGGTGCGGTGGCTCATGCTTGTACTCCTAGCACTCTGGGAGGCGAAGGTGGGTGGATTGCCTAAGTTCACAGGTTCGAGACCAGCCTGAGCCAGATCAAGACCCCTTCTCTACAAATAGCCGGGCATTGTGGCAGGTGCCTGTAGTCCCAGCTACTCAGGAAGCTGAGACAAGAGAATGGATTAAGCCCAAGAGTTTGAGGTTGCTGTGAGCTGTGATGCCACCGCACTCTACCGAGGGCAACAAAGTGAGACTCTGTCTCAAAAAAAAAAAAAAAGATAAAAGAAAACATTTGATACAAAGAACCCCCCTCCTCAGGTCAGCTGGAGGGAGGGTGAATGGTGGGATCATACCTATGGTGCATATTGCAAAGGTACATGTCAGATCTATTAAGTACAGGGTTAAATGTCTCAACACAATAATTAAGTAAATGAGGTGAGGGATATATTAACTAGTACGATGTAAGCATTCCAAATTGTGTGTGAAATCAGCACATTGTACCCCATAAATGCATTAACATATACATGATCTGCCTCTTTATGATTTAATTTAAAAAAATAAAAAAGAACCCCCCCTCCTCACCCCCTGTATCATTTCTGGATGTTCCTCTCAAAGGAACAGTGGTGGCCAAATCTTCTAAATGAGGGTAGCAGTGTGAAAAAAAGCCTTGGTGAAAATTCACTCACTCAATGGATATTGAATGCCTAGGGAGGGAAAAACACCGGGGGTAGAATGTTGAATAAGACAGATACAATACAGTAAGTGCTCACTATGTTGTTGATAGATTCTTGGAAACTGCAACTTAAAGCAAAACAATATATAATAAAAGCAATTTTACCATATAATAAATTTTACTGTATAATAAAACACAATTTTACTTGTGTTTAACTTAAACACAAGTTAAGTTGCAGTGGCATACTTCTGGTCACAAAAATATCAGCAAACTACTCAAAAAACAAAACCACTGGGTAGTTCATGGTGGAGCATAGTGGTTCATGCCTGTAATCTCAGCACTTTGAGCTTTGGGAAGCCGAGGTAGGAGAATCACTTGAGGCCAGGAGCTTGAGACCATCCTGGGCATCATAGCAAGACCCTGGTCTCTATAAAAACTGAAAAAATTAGCCAAGCATAATGTTGCATGCCTGTAGTCCTAGCTGCTTGGAAGGCTGATGTCGGAGGATCTGTGACCCACTGCACTCCAGCCTGGGTCACAGAGCAAGACCCCATCTCAAAAACAAAAACCACTTCTAATAGTAAACATTGAAATAAATGTGAGTTAAACATATATTTAAAGAATAATAAAGACTTAAGCACTGGGTGGCCAGTGCTTATCCCTGCAGCTCAGAGTGCAAGGTAGAAACTAGCCTGAACAGGACACTATCCCATCACAGACTCACACTCAACTCAGACTGGGACCATTTAGGCATGCCGGTGAGGCGGGGCTCAGTAGCTCATGCCTGTAATCCTAGCACTTTGGGAGGCTGAGCTGGGTGGCTCTCCTGAGCTCAGGAGTTGGAGACGAGCCGGAGCAAGAGCGAGACCCTGTAGTGACTAAAAATAGAAAAATTAGCTGGGCATTGTGTAGTCCCAGCTACTTGGGAGGCTGAGGCAAGAGAATACCTTAATCCCAAGAGTTTGAGGTTGCTGTGATCTATGATGCTATAGCACCCTACCCAGGCGACAGAATGAGCTGTGTCTCAAAATAAATAAATAAATAAATAAATAAAAAATAAATAGATACGCCAGTGAATGGAGCACATCTTTGAGGTGTGGAAGTACTGGGGGAAAACCCACACAGATGTGGGGAGAATGTGCAAGCTCCACAGAAACAGGGGTCCTGGTTGGGAAGCCATTTTACTCTCATTAATGTTATAATGAAACAATATTAAAGTAATGATATCATTTAAGGACCTTTTACCTGTCATTTCACTTAAAGTTGCAGTTTCCAAGAACCTATTGATGTTAAGTGAAACGATGTGAACAAAATGATGTTATTTGAGCACCTGTTGTACTTGTCCTTATGGTGCTAACAGTCTAGCACTATATTATACAAATATAAAGGTACAGATTGAGAAGTGTTATGAAAGAAGTAAAGTCAATGGTGCTGTTAAGAGTCCTAAATTATAATAAACTGGGGGATCATGCTAGATCTTTCCAAGGATATATTTAAGCTGAGACCTGAAGAATAAGTCTAGGCAAAGAGTGGGATGAAGCCTCTGGGTGGATCATATGGAAGGTCCCATGTTGGGAAAGAACTTGGCCTTTTTGAGGACCTTGGAAATATTTAAAGTAAATAAGATAATGGTTAACATAAGGTTGGATAAATAGGCAGAGGCAATAATGGCCTTGTAGCCATGATAAGGAGGATGGGTTTCAGTCTTAAATGGAATGGGAAGCCCTTGAAGAATTTGAAGCAGGAGAATCACATCTAATTTGAACTTTTAAAATATTACCCTGAGTATTATCTGGAGAATGGATTGTAGGAAGGCAGGAGTAAAAGCAGAGGGATCAGTCAGGACGCCATGTGGTAGTCTACTAAGAAATGACGGTAACTTGGACTAAGGTAGTAGCAGTGGAGATGGAAAGAATATAGATTTGTAAACTGTAATACAAATGTTTTTATAACTGCTTTATTGCAGTGTAATTCACATCCCAAACAATTCACTCATTTAACCATACAATTCAAAGGCTTTTTTAGTATGTTCAGAGTTGTACAACTGTCACCACAATTGAAGTTTTCATCCCCCCCAAAAGAAACTCTGTACCCATTAAGTCACTCACCATTTCTCCTGAGTCTCTCCCCTACCCAGCCTCAGGCAACTACTAATTTACTTTTTTTTTGAGACAGAGTCTCACTATGTCACCCTCAGTAGAGTGCCCTGGCATCAACAGCTCACAGCAAGCTCAAACTCTTGGGCTCAAGCGATTCTCTTGCCTCAGCCTCCCAAGTAGCTGGGACTACAGGCGCCCGCCACAACACCCAGCTATTTTTTGGTTGTAGTTTTCATTGTTGTTTAGCAGGCCCAGGCTGGGTTCAAACTGGCCAGCCCGGGTGTATGTGGCCAGCGCCCTAACCACTGAGCTATGGGCTCTGAATCCTGGCTATTTTTATGTTGTGGTTGTCGTTGTTTAGCAGGCCCAGGCTGGGTTCGAACTTGCCAGCCACGGTGTATGTGACCCGCACATCAACCATTGAGCTATGGGCGCCGAGCCATGTCAATCTACTTTTTACTAATATAATGCCTATTCTGGTTATTTGATACAGATGGAGTCACATAATACATGGTCTTTTGAATCTGGATTTTTTCACTTGGTATAAGTTTTCAATGTTTATTTATGTTGTGGCATATATCAGTACTTTATTCCATTTGATACTTATGAATATTCATTATATGGATATACCACATTTTTTTAATTCATTCATTAATGGACATTTGGTTTGCTTTCAATTTTGGCTATTATGAATAATGCTGCTATGAACATTGATGTGAGATAATGTATTTTAAAGGTAGAATTGATGAGACTTGGGTCAGTCACTGGGTGTTGAAGAAGAGAATGTTAAGGATGTATGCCATACGTTGCTCTCCATCCCCATAAGACCGGGGGAAATTTTATGTTCTGTATATTCCCTTCCTCTCAGTAAATCACTCATCCAAGTTCTGTTTAAAAATAACCAGGTGAGGATGGTGCCTGTGGCTCAGTGAGTTGGGTGCCAGCCCCATATACCAAGGGGTGGTGGGTTCAAACCCGACCCTGGCCAAACTGCACCAACAACAAAAAATAGCCGGGCATATGTGGCGGGCACCTGTATGTAGTCCCAGCTACCCAGGAGGTTGAGGCAAGAGAATCACCTAAGCTCAGGAGTTGGAGGTTGCTGTGAGCTGTGACGCCACGGCACTCTACCAAGGGCAATAAAGTGAGACTCTGTCTTTATTTTTTATTTTATTTTTTTGAGACAGAGCCTTGAGCCATCACCCTGGGTAGAGTGCTGTGGCATCCCAGCTCACAGCAACCTCCAACTCCTGGGCTCAAGTGAGTTTCCTGCCTCCACCTCCCAAGTAGCTGGGACCACAGGTGCCCACCACAACGCCCGGCTATTTTTTGGTTGCAGCTGTCATTGTTGTTTGGCGGGCCCGGGCTAGATTCGAACCCGCTAGCTCAGGTGTACATGGCTGGCGCCTTAGCCACTTGAGCCACAGGCACCGAGCCTGAGACCTTTGTCTTTAAAAAAAAAAGCCAGGTGAACAGTTAATGCCAAGATTACTTTAGTACCCACCAAACATTTTTGTTTTCATCTGTGTCAGTACAGTCACATGCTGTATAACCATGCTTTGGTCAATGGTGGATTGCTGTAAGATTATAATGGAACTGAAAAATTCCTATTGCCTAATGACATCGTAGCCATCATAATGTTGTAGCACAATTACTCTTTTAAAATAAGTTTAGGGAAGCCTCAGTGTACAGTGCATATACAGTAGTGTACAGTAATGTCCTAGGTCTTCATGTTCACTCACCACTCACTCACTGACTCACCCAGAGCAACTTCCAGTCCTGCAAAGCTCCATTCATGGCCAGTGTACTGTACAGGTACCCCTTTTTTTTTTTATTTACATTTTATACTGTGTTTTTACTGTACCCTTTCTATAGTCAGATGTGTTTACATAAATACTTACCATTGTGTTATAGCTGCCTACAGTATTCAGTACAGTGACAGTACTGCACAGGTTTGTAGCCTAGGAACAATAGGCTGTTCCTATAGTCTAGGTCTGTAGTAGGCTGTACCATCTAAGTTCATGTATATACAATCTGTGATGTTTGCACAACAACAAAATTTGCTACTGATGCATTTCTCAGAATATATCCCCATTGTTCAGCAACATATGACTATAGTTAGTACTGGAGTGCTATAATATTTTCAACACAAAAATGTAGGTGTAAAATTTACTCAGAGTCCTTTATGTTAGCTCATTTATTCAAAGTAGATTTATTAGGTGCCTACTTTAAGCTAGGTTCTGCAGGGAGCTGTGAAATGTTTATGATATAGTCTCTGCCTTCAGTTGGGGAGAAATTCATGACAGGGCTAGGGACTTAGAGGAATAAGAGCTTACTTTGTCTATGGAGATAAGAGAAGGCTTCATGGAGCAGATCTTTGGGGCCTTAAAATGTAGGAAGAGGTTTAATAAGATGATAAGGAAATGAGGATATTCTCTGAGAAGGTAACATGCTCGGTTGGGCACAGTGGCTCATGACAGTAACCCTAGCACTCTGGGAGGCCAAGGTGGGAGTATCTCTTGAGCTCAGGAGTTGGAGACCCACCTAAGCAAGACTGAGACTTCATCTCTCTACTAAAAAATTAGCTGAGCCTGGTGGTGCATACCTGTAGTCCCAGCTACTGGAGAGGTTGAGATAAGGAGGATTGCTTGAGCCCAGGAGTTTGAGGTTGCTATGAGCTAGATGCACAATGGCTAAGAAGTGGTGATGCCAGACTTAAGAGTTTAGATTTGGGATATAGGTCATAATGAGTCTTCAAAGCTTTAAAAAAAAAAAAAAACAAAAACAAAAACAAAACAAACTGGGGAATACCTCAGGAAGATTGTTTTGGCCAGCTGTATGTAACGGAAATTGGAATAGGGAGAGACCAGAGGAAGGTACAAGTGATAGAAGGAACCAGAATTTACAATTGTTTGGATGTTCAGGGCAAAAATGGGAACAAAGATGAGTCCAAAGCCTGGGTAACTGAGAACTAGTACCGTGTTTCCCCGAAAATAAGACACTGTCTTCTATTTATTTTTTCTCAAGAAGACACACACTAGGGCTTATTTTCAGGGGATGTCTTATTTTTATTAAGTATAATACAACAATCTACATTTATTCAAATACACTTAAGTCATCTTCTTCTGGAACCTGACGGGGGAGCCAACCTTGTTGGTGGGGCTGGCGCTAGTGATTCATGAACTCCTTTCCCCTAGCCGTTCGCACGTGCGCAATAGGATGCCTGCAACTGCGGTTACCACACGCGCAGCCGCACAAGTGCGAAGGGCTGGGAGAAAGGAGCTGTGGCAGATAAAAGGTATTCCAGTCTCCTTACCGCTCCGCGCCAAAATGCAGGGCGTGGCTGGCTATGCAATGTCACTAGGTCTTATTATCAGGGTAGGGAATGCATAGAAATCCTGCTAGGGCTTATCTTTAGGGTATATCATTAACTGAAATTAAGACAACAGGGATGGGGTGGAGAAGATGAGTTTAGTTGATAGTGCTTTTGAAAATGGTACATTGGAGAGAGGCCCAAACACAGATGATCATTGAAGCCATGGGGCTAGAAGAGTTAGCCAGGTTGACTGTTCAGCAAGAAGTCTAAACCTAGGGAAACACCTACCTTTAGGAGATGGTGGGAGGTTCTTTCCATCATCTTGGTTTTTTTTTTTTCCTTTTCTCACAAAGGAGAAAGAACTGCAGCAGTTAGTGGTTGTAATCATGGTCAACTGGGAAATCATTCAGTATCTGAGTGAAAAGGGCCTCTAAGTCACTGATTTTCAACCCATGTGCCACGAAATTTTTTAAAGATCATTAATTCAATTATTTTTGAGAGACGTTCAAAGCACAGTTAAGTATATTCTTTAACTCTTTTTAATCAACAGAATTTATTTTTATTATTATTATTTTTTTGAGACAGAGTCTCGCTGTCTCACCCTTGGTAGAGTTCCGTAGTGTCACAACTCACGGAAACCTCAACTCCAACTCTTGGGCTTAAGCAATTCTCTTGCCTCAGCCTCCCAAGTAGCTGGGACTACAGGTGCCCGCCACAATGCCTGGCTATTTTGTTGTGTTGTTGTGGTAGTTGTCATTGCTGTTTAATCAACATAATTTAAGTGTGCCATGTGAGTTTATAGGTTCAAGTGTGCCGTGAGATAAAAAAGGTTGGAAAACACTGCTGCTCTAGATTAATGCAGATAACAACTGTAGCAGTTTGGTAGGTGATGTGCAGCATAGGATTGTTTTATAATGTTTCATTCCTGTCACAGACTAAAAAGCCATCCTGGTATGCAGTGACCTAAATTGGATAATATTTTAAAACAACTTTTGTCCAAAGATCGCATATATCTGTATGTTATCGGTCACTTCACTATTCCAATTTAAAAAAAAAAAAATTAAATCCTATACCACAAAAGGTTCAGGGCTTCTGACTTAGAAAACATAAGTAAAACATCATCAAGTTCCTGACTGGTTAGGACTCTGACCTGGTTTCTAAGTGTCTTATAATGTGGCAAGAAGAAGCAGGCAAGGATCAGTATAAGATCCAGTATATTCACTGGGACAAGAAACTATCCCAACTGCCATCTTTATCTTTTGACTGTTAGAATGTGGCTACAGTGATCTCATCAGTGAGCTGCTGTATATTTATTCTTCATAGAAGCACAGATTCTTAAAAGCAAACGTATTCCATTGTTAAAGCATATTCAATGTTAAAGCTTCCTTTTTTAAGTTCGGCATGATAAAGGACGACATAATCACCACAGCATGATGCGTTCTTGACTGTGGCACTATTCTTTGAAACACTGTAAGACTAAGATAACCTTACACATGACAGTAGTTCCTTTGGGTTCATATAAGTAAATTCTAGATCAAGTAATGGAACTTAAGATTTCAGATAAAATTTTCATGTTTTTTTTTTTTTTTTAATCTCCTTACAGCTCACTGCCCTGCAAGAACAACTGAAGCAATATCTGAAGTGAGGAGAGCCTTCAGCCTGGCCCACACATGTGGAATTCACTATTCAGACTAAATACTGGATAAAATATTGCATGCTTCTGTCTCTTTATTTGCCTTAATGTCAAAACAACTATAGTTATTTCTCTGATCCTTTTGCTAGCTATAATAGGTTTGAAGTTTATACTGTGTATTAAAGGACAATATAGAAAAGTAGTAGATTTAAAGACTCCATACAACTACAGGATTTTGTTTCTCTTTGTTAATTTGAGAATTATTATTACTTTTTTAGAGACAAGGTGTCAGTAAGTTGCCCCAGCTGGCTTTGAACTCTTGGGCTAAAACAATTCTCCTGCCTCAGCCTCCTGAGCAGCTGAGACTATAGACACATGCCACCATAGCCAGTGGTGTGGTGCTATCAGATGATTCAGCCATGCTTGCCAACGGCAGATAGTCTAGCCTAGAAGCCATATAGCTGGTTGACGTGTTTTTCCAAACTTTTCTGGGTTTTGTTTTCTGTGAAGTATTTCCTTAACATAGAAAGAAAAATCAACTCATTTCTAACTAGGGCTACGACCTGCCACAGTGAATTTAAGTGCCTACCTCGCAGCAGTTAATACTAGGTTGTGTCCTGTCTCTATTCAGGTAGTAGGGCTGCTTTCCTGCTCAGGGATGATTTGCTGCTGCTTATGTTTCTTCTGTTATGTTTTTAGGAGTGGGGTATTCCTTGTTGTATTCAATAGCTAAGGGAACAGTTAGAGTAGAGATGAAGAAATTCTTAGCACTTATCCTTTTATTCTGAGCCTCCTCATCCTAACCCCCATAAGAAAAGGTTAAGAAAAACAGATGCTGATAATACCTATGAAGACTTCCTTTAAAACGCTCAATTGTTTTTTTTTTCAGCTTTCATATTACTATTTTCTTGCTTATGACGTTTAAACAATAAAAATAAACAGATTATTCCTGTTAAATAGATTCCTGTCAATTTATTAAAGCACTCCCATGATAAGTACACTCATAACCAAAAGGAAACAGACAATAAACTGTATGGCTTGGTCCATTTCAGCTGCTATAACAAAAATACCATAGATTGGGTAAAATATGAACAATGCAAATTTATTGCTCACATTTCTGGAGGCTAGAAAGTCCAAGATAAAGGTGCCAGCAGATTCGGTATCTAGTGAGATTTGGTATTCAGTAGCTGTGTCTGCGTTGTAGATCATACCTTCTTTCTGCCTCTTCACATGGCAGAAGGGACAAACAAGCTCCCTCAGGCCTATTTTATCATTTTATTTTATTTTTTTTAATTTTTGAGTACTTCCTTTGTGCTCCACTCTTTATTTTACAACTTTCAGGAAGCATGCATTGTGATTGACTTACAATAAACTTCACTTTTTTTAGAGACAGTCTTACTTTGTCACCCTCAGTAGAATGCTGTGGCATCACATCTCACAGTGTCCTCCAACTCCTGGGCTTTAGGCGATTCTCTTGCCTCAGTCTCCTGAGTAGCTGGGACCATAGGCACCTGCCACAATGTCCAGCTATTTTTTGTTACGGTTTGGTTGGAGCTGGGTTTGAACCTGCCACCCTTGGTATATGGGGCCAGCGCCCTACCCACTGAGCCACAGGCACCGCCCTTATTTTATTTTATTTTTATGAGACAGGGTCTCACTTTGTTGCCCTCGGTAGGATGCCTGTGGCATCATACCTCACAGCAACCTCAAACTCTTGGGCTCAAGTGATTCTCTTGCCTCAGCCTCCCAAGTAGCTGAGACTACAGGCTTCAGCCCACAATGCCTGACTATTTTAGATTACATTTTATTTTGTTAATCAAATCATAGCTGTGTACCTTAATGCAATTATGGGGTACAAGTGCTGGTCTGGCTATTTTAGAGATGGGGTCTTGGTCTGGCTCAGGCTGGTCTTGAACCCATGAGCTCAGGCAATCCACCAGCCTCAGTCTCCCAGAGTGCTAGGATTACAGGCATGAGCCACTGTGTCTGGCCTCTCAGGCCTGTTTTGGGTTTTTTTTTTTTTTTTTTTTTGCAGTTTTTTGCCGGGGGCTGGGTTTGAACCCACTACCTTTGGCATATGGGGCCAGCACCCTACTCTACTGAGCCACAGGCACCGCCCACTCAGGCCTGTTTTAAGAGGGCACTAATCCCATTCAATAGGGTAGAGCCCTTTTGACCTAATCACTTCCCTAAATCCCTCTCTCATAATACCACCACATTGCACGTTATATTTCAGCATATGAATTTTGGGGGGACACATTCAGATAATAGCATTTTTTTTGAGACAGAGTCTCACTTTGTCACCCTCAGTGGAGTGCTAGGGCATCACAGCTCACTGCAACCTCCAGCTCTTGGGCTTAGGCAATTCTCTTGCCTCAGTCTCCTGAGTAGCTGGGACTATAGGTGCCCAGCACAACGCCTGGCTATTTTTGTTGTTGTTGCAGTTTGGCTGGGGCCAGGTTCGAACCCACTACCCTTGGTATATGGGGCTGGCGTCCTACTCACTGAGCCACAGGCACTGCCAGATCATAGCAAAATAGAAAATAACAAAAAATGTTGTCAGTACTTGGGTATCCCTCCAAAGACTTCTTAGGATAACTCCAAATGAACTAAGGAAATCACCTCAAATTAACCATATAGCATTGGGACTTACAGAAGGCAGCTCCAATATTTAGATTGAGATTTAGTTGTAGTGGAATAATCGCAAGGTTGGAACTCACCTTGGGGAAGTCCCTATACTTCTTAGAGCCTCTATTTCCTCATCTGTAAATCAAGGGTGATAATGCTTTTCGCCTAGAGGCATCTCAAGGTTTCCTTGAAGTAGCCCAGCGAGCCGCAGGTCTAGTCCCTACTGATAAAGTTAGTGCTGCTCTAAGAAATGTACTCCCAAGTTCTTTGCACCACATTTAGTGGTCCAACTCCAAGTCAAAGTTAAATCATGGGCAGAAAAGAGGATACTATGTATGCATAGGCATGTGGAGAAGGAATGAGGACAGCGAGAATGCTGGGGGAAATGCAGGGGAAAAAGTGGGGCTATAGGAGATAGGCATATTAAGAGAAAACTAAATAAAACCAAGATTAAGAGAGAAGTTAGAAGACAGTTTGAAAACCCCAGGATGATAGAAAAGAGATTTTTTTTTTGTTTTTTAATTTCAGAAACCTAGAACTTAAAAGATGAGAAAAAGGAGAATGAGGTCAGGTGCATGGCTCACATCTGCAATCCTAGGACTTTTAGAATAGAAGTGGGAGGATCACTTGAGGCCAGGACTTGGAGACCAGACTTAAAAAAAAAAAAATTAAAAAGCAGGAGAATGACTGAACCCAGGACTTCAAGGCTATCATGAGCTGTGATCATGTTACTACACTCCAGCCTAGGCAACAGAGCCAGACCCTGTCTCATTAAAAAAAAAAAAAAAAAAAAGGAAAAATAGAATGAGGGAAAGGAATTGCATCTCAGAGGTAGAAGATAGGAGAAGAAGCAAAGTTTGAAAAGAAGATAGGCTTTTCCAGATAAAGGAATACGGAGGACTGGGGTAGAAACTGAAAGTACCATGGGGACATGCTGGAGACACTGAGGCCAGTAAGGATGGCGTATATCATGCTGCCTTTGAGAGCAGCCGGAGCTTTGCTGAGAGGCAGGATGGTAGGGAAGACAACACAGCAGAAAGGGGCAAGGGCAAGCACGTGTGGCTTTTGAGCACCTGACATATGGCTAGTCCGAATTGAGATGTACTGTAAGTATAAAATATACACTAGATTTCTGCAGGGGAACTGCTCTGTGTGAGCATCCTGACAACCTTCTACTACCCATAGGCCACATAGGCAAGGCTCAACTGCAGGTTGACCCAGGTCTTGGCAGAATGCCCTGTAATCCTCCTAGAACACAGGAATATAGACAATCTTGGGAGGAGGGAGGCTGTCATAAGACAGTTTCTCATTTGCCTCCCTCATTCTAATAAGGTATAGGCTCTAGGGCTTTTTGCCTGCCCTCCATTCCCCAGAAGATACAGATGCAGGCCACAGAATTGCTGAGTGCAGTGTAGCTTTGCTTACTCAGCACCATCTAGTCCCACCAGATAGTTGTGTGCTATCTGGCCCTTTTTGTTTCAGTATTATCTTGTGGGACAGGAAGAGAAGGCACTGATACCATTGTTGATCTTGCTTCTTCTGTCTCTATAAGTAACGAACTGTTTGGAGCTATCTAGATTTCTTGTTTTATTACCAGCTGAATCTATCAGTTTGCTTAACAACTCCAAGGACTTAGTTTTTAAAAAGAATACAAAATATGTCATTAATAATTATTTTATACTGATTGTATCTTGAAAAGATAATATTTGGGATATATTTGGTTTAAAAGTATATTATTAAGACCAGGCGTGATTGCTCACCCCTACAATCCTAGCACTCTGGGAGGCCAAGGTAGGTGGATTGCCTGAGTTCACAGGTTCAAGACCAGCCTGAGCCAGAACGAGATTCTGTCTCTAAAATTTGCTGGGCATTGTGGTGGACACCTATGGTCCCAGTTACTTGGTAGGCTAAGGTAAAAGGATCACTTGAGCCCAAGAGTTTGAGATTGCTGTAAGCTATGACACCACTGGTACTCTACTGAGGGCAACAAAGTCAGACTCTACCTCAAACAAAAAGTATATTATTAAAATCAATTCTACCTGTTTTACTTTTTTAATATGGTTGCTATAAAATTTAAAATTATAGGTTCAGTGCCTGTGGCTCAAGTGGCTAAGGCGCCAGCCACATATACCTAAGGTGGCGGGTTCAAATTCAGCCTGGGCCCACCAAAACAACAATGATGGCTGCAACCAAAAACTAGCCGGGCGTTGTGGTGGGCACCTATGGTCCCAGCTACTTAGGAGGCTGAGGCAGGAGACTTGCTTGAGCCCAGGAGTTAGAGGTTGCTGTGAGCTGTGATGCCACAGTGCTTTACCCCGGGGGACAGCTTGAGGCTCTGTCTCAAAAAAAAAATAAAATTACACATGTGGTTTGCATTATATTTCTACTGCACAGTACTGCTATAGTTTGGTGAGAAAAGAAAAAATGGTGGCAGGTAAGAGGGTCATATAGGATTTTATTCTGCCATAAAATGGCATTTAAAAACTATCACCATCAACTCACAGGGACATTTTAACTTCCAAAATGTATATAGCCATAATATCAGAATAAAGGAAAAATCTTTAAATTACATAAATGTAACCTCATGGAAATTGTCACTGCATTGTCCTGAATTTTCTTTATTTTTTTTGGTCCTGATTTTTCTTACATTGCTTTAGACTAGTGAAAAATTCCTCAGATTGATGAGGATAGAATTTAGAAACCATTGCTATGCAGAGCTCCATCCCATGAGGTGATAATTAGCTAATTTGGGGAAGGGTAGGAGGCTTGAGAGGCAACCAATCCAGGTAAAAGCAGCAGATGGGACCAATGGGGGTGTTGGTTTTTCTCCCATAGATGTTAGACTCATATAGTGGCCTTATTTTTTTATTTTTTATTTTTTTTGAGACAGAGTTTCACTTTGTCACCCTCGGTAGAGTGCCATGGCGTCATAGCTCACAGAAACTTCAAACTCTTGGGCTTAAGCAATTCTCTTGCCTCAGACTCCCAAGCACTACAGGCACCCACCACAACGCCTGGCTTTTCTTTTTTTTTTACAGTTTTTGGCTGGGGCTGGGGGCTGCGTTTGAACCCACCACTTCCAGTATATGGGGACGGCGCCCTACTCCTTTGAACCACAGGCACTGCCCCGCCTGGCAATTTTTTTGTTGCAGTTGCCATTGTTGTTTAGTTGGGCTGGCCGGGTTCAAACCTGCGAGCCTCGGTGTATGTGGCTGGCGCCGTAACCATTGTGCACAGGTGCCAAGCCTGGTGGCCTTATTTTTTGTAATGCTTCTGTAGCTTCTTGGTCCACCTTCTCTTTCCACCCCCCCACCAAATAAGAGAGTCAGAGAGTATAACCAGAGGAACCAAAGTAAACAAATACAAATTTATTCTTTTCAAAGCAGAATTCAAGGGAAAGGTGAAAAGCACCACAGTGAGTGGCAATCAAAGTTAACCAATTTGTTCCAACCCTGCCTCTTCATCTCAAACTTTTCTAGACTTGGCTGCCACCCTGTCACTTCCCCTGAATCCCTTCCCCAATTCTCATCCTCATGACTAGTTCATGCAAACAGCATAACAGACTTCAGTCTGGTCTCCATAATGCCCAGGGGACAGCAAAGACATTCAGCAGGTCCCTTCTCAAATGTGGCAGCTGTGGGAGGAGACGGAAGCTGGGAGCTGAGCCCTGGCCTTGAGCCTTTCCCTCTCCCACAGCCATTGGTGTTAAAAAAGTGAGACACAGCTGAAGAATTCCTTTGTTCCCACAGGAGCTGCCTAACTGAGGAGCTATATCTCCACAGCCCTAGGACAGGACCTCCAGTTTCTCTCCTAGAACTAACCCATTTGTGTTAAGGCAGCTATTTTCTTGGTTATCTATCCCTTACGTCAAGAGAAATTGGATGGGATCCTTGGCCTGAAATAGTCCCAGAGGCGAGGTCATGACTCTGCCATTGAGAACATGAGTTCAAAGAAGGTTCTAGCCCTCTGCTGGATATGGAGCCCAAACTCCAAACACACCCCTGGCAGCACGGGCATTCCTTAAAATGATTCTGGAGGGAAAACATCTCCCAGAATTGGCCTATGCCTGACCTCAGGGTTTATCATTACCGTGGCTTGCTAGCCCAGTTCCTGGAGCACCAGAAACTAAAACAGGCTTCTCTGTAGGGAAGTATTTCTCAGCCTTGAGCCTTGAAGAAAATGGGTACTTGAGAGCCTTTGATTCTAGCCTTTCCAAAGTGGAGGGAATGGCACATGACCTCTTGGGTGGGACCCTCCCTAGGGAACCATATCCCAGCCCAGTGTGCTCCAGCCAGTCAACCCTCCCTAACAATCCCCAATCAATGTGAATCCACTCTGCATTAGGTAGAAGCAGAGGTATCCTCGTAATGACTTTTTAGCCTTTATCAAATTCTGTCGAGAATAAATTCAGTCCTAACTGTTCCCTGATACTATTTGACAACAACCCCAGCAAACACATTCCTTATCGCTGATGCTAATCCTATAGTCAGAGGTTTCCCTTAGGCTACCAACAGAGCAACTCCCTTCACCACTCTTCTAGTGCAGGGCCAGAACTACACAGCACCAAGCACAATGCCTTCGGGTAACATGATACACAACAGATGCCTAAAAATATACAACACATTTCAGTAAATCCAACCCCAATCCGGATTCACAGCGCCCAAGGATCCGTTTACCTCACTGTGGGCATGCTGCCCATGCATGCTGCAGTGACAGTCACTGGACCCCTGAGTGATATACTCACATCAGGCCATCAAGGTAAACACAGAATCACAAAGTATCAGTGACTCCCTTAGTGAGAATTCAACTCTTGACCTGCTGCTTCAGTCCACCTACAACTTGGATCCTACATAACAAGATCTACATCTTTTCTACCATGCCTGGACCACAGCAATTGCCCCAGGGTCTCAGCAGCCCAAGAGCTCTTAGGTGGGGTGGGGGTAACAGAAAGGACTTCCTGGGGCTTTTCTGGTAAGAGAGTGTTCCATAATATCTGCCTTCCTAAGGCTCACATAGATATATGTGTCAAAGTCCCTGAGCCCTCTGTCCCACATTCCTACTCACAATTTAGGCCCTCATGTTGACTGCTACCTGCTTACCACTTGCTCACCATCTATCCAGATACCCAGTTATCCTACTCAGAGACCTCAGGAACACTAGGGTAGATGTTATGATATGAAGTCTTACATCCTAGACCTGTGGCTTAGAGTAAGGGGAGGATGCAACGCTAAACCTCTGGACCCAAGCCACTGTTCTATCTCTCCAGCAGCAGATGGATCTAGGTTCCCAGTAGTTCTACCCACTGGCTAGCTCACGGCTTGATTGTAACACAACACCCAAACTGTGTCACTCCCTCCTGATCTTGGTGGCAACCGCTGTTTTCTTTAAAGCCCTGAGACAGATCTTAGGAACTGGAAGGGTCCAAAGAATGCACTCTGTGTCTTAGCCTGGAAAAAGCTAATAACGGCGTATTTGTTACTTCTGTTTCTGCATGGGGTGGGTAGAGCTTGCATTTGCTCTATTTTGGCACCTGAATCATTGTTAAAGGGAGCCCAGGAAAATTCATCTAAGGCCCAGGTCTCAAGGGGAAAAGATTTGGAACGAGTGAAGAGAACAAAGTGACTCTTCCTGTTAGATTCCTCTGTGGCCACAGACTTCTGCTGCTTTGGTCTGGAGGACAGCCCACCCCAAACATCAATGGAGAGAGACATCCTAAAGGAGCAGCCAGTATGCATCTATCTTTCCAACAAGAGGCTGGGACTAACAAAGAGCAAGGCAGAACATTAATTCTTCAAGAGGTATTAGAATTTAATATGTGAGTGAGGCCAGGAGAGCGCTGATGTACAGTAGATATGTATGTATATAAACTTAGGCAAACTAAGTTGACTGTAGGGCTCCAGGTTATAAAGCTCCTCTTGGTAGAAAGCTGCCTAAGTGGGCTCTGAATCTGTTCAAAGCCCACTCTCTCATCCCCCATTACCTGTTCTGAATAGTTTTTAGGTAAAGGGATGATGGTATATGTTGCCTAGGAAGAGTTAGTTCAGTTTGAGGCCTGGGTTCACTTTCCAGAGTTAGAACAGTTTTATGCACAGGAAGGCCTTGCTGTTGTCTGGGTGGAAAGTGAACATCTTTCTGATTCATGGTCAGTGGCTCCTAGGGAGGGGCTACTACTTAAGGTGGTTTGTTGCAAATGACTTATGTTTATCTGGGGGCGATTAGCCACCTCACCTGATTAAGCCTAAGATCTAGAAGGGTCGCAGCCTGAAAAAGTGATAGGGAGTAATACTCCTTCAGGCTAGAGGATGGCTTCTCCTTCCTAACCTAAGGAGAATAAGAACTGCCACCTGGGGCAGCATCCGTGGCTTGGTGAGTAGGGTGCGGGCCCCATATAGTGAGGGTGGTGGGTTCAAACCCGGCCCCGGCAAAACTGCAACAACAACAGAAAAATAGCCAGGCATTGTGGTGGGTTCCTGTAGTCCCAGTTACTCTGGAGGCTGAGGCAAGAGAGTCGCCTAAACCCAAGAGCTGGAGGTTGCTGTGAGCTGTGATGCTACAGCACTCTACTGAGGGCAACAAGTCTCTAAAAAAAAAAAGAAAAAGAAAAAGAAAAGAACCCCCGCCTGAGCAAGCTGCCACTCATCCTGGGGATCTGTAAGGGCAAACTCAGAGGAACAAAGGGTGGCTGCAGCTGGGTTTCCAGAGCAACGCAGCAGGTCTCTCAGGATGCCGAGGCCTTCAGGAAATGGGAGGATTAGGGTAGGGGCAAAAAAGCTAAAGCCTTATAAGAATTGCTTTAATGTTTCTAAATATAAGGTGGGAGAAGGAACCAAAATGAACTATTTCCCATTGAGGAAGGTCTACCAGGTACTGAGGCAGAAGGATTAAAGATATTCAATGAGGAAACATCATCTAGGTAACATTGGATGGCTAGAGATCTGCCCTGGAGCTGAAGTAATAGGACCATACTGCCCAGATTTTTTCCAGGGATTCTGGAGTGGGGTGTCTCAGGGATACCCTTTTGCCTCCCTGAGTTGGGCCAGAGAGTAGGGCTATTGCCTGCGGATTCATAATGCTGGACTCCTGGGGCCATTAGGCATCTGCCTCTCCATAATTTCATGGAGAAGGGAAAGGGGCCAATGGCACTACTTAGCTCAGCAAGGCAGCTTCTCTGTTCTCCATCTGAATGGCTAAGTGCTGTTTGCCTGGGTTGTAAAAGAAGAGTACTTAAAAGAATGGTCTCAAAGTTGAGGATTAAAGGGAACATTTTAGAGTTATAGGAGTCATGCCTCCCCTTCCCCTACCACCCCCCTCCCAAACACACACCCCTCACATACCACCAGATCCCTGCTGCTGCCCAGAGCCCAAATAACTCTGCTTGAGGAACATGGGGCCAGTGGGGACAAAAAGGTTGGGTGAAGTCTGAGGGAAGACTTTGACCAGAACCAGGAGAGGACTATGGACTATAGGATGGGGATCTTGCTCATCAAGAGGCCAGCAGAGTGTTGGATGTCACATCAGAACTTCGCACACTTGGGAAGGCATGGCGGAGCTTCTCCATGATGTCCTCTAAGCACAGGCTGACATCCTGGCTCTTTGATCCCACATCATCTGAGTTGGAAAAGAGATTTTGAAGAGAACTAGAGACTCTTTTATGAGGCCTAGGGGCCAGGTAGGATACTACCAGCTGAAGGGCAGACCCACCAGCAGTGCTTATGTCCTCCCAGCACAATGCCTAGTACATGGGGTGCTTGTTATACATTTGTAGAATAAGCATACAAATGAATCAATCAATAAACCGATCATCTGACTCTAAGCCCAAAGCCATGGGAAACCCATGGCAGCACTAGCAAAACCTTGGGCAGGACAAAGCCACACAAGAAGGAGCTGAAAGGAGCCAAGGAAACTCACCTGCAGCCTCTGTGTCTGGGGTAGTCTGTCCCTTCTCCCGAGGGTGACTGCCTTCTGACTGCTGTGGAGAGGAAGCTAGGGACGAGCCTGCAGAGCCATTTCCATCTGATTCGGTGGGTGGCTAGCAAGAGGTAAGGCATGATTGAAGTGGCTTTGCCTTCTTGACCTTATCTTGACAGATTCCTGAGCTTAGAAGGGAACTTAGGGCCTCCATACACATCCCTTTGCCCTTGAACTTAAAGAAGCTTTTGGTAATGGCCCAAACAGTGGCATCCTCTTTTAGACAACTTCTTTGAATATCCCATTACTGATTAACTTTCTTCTTCAACAACATGTATCAAAGGCCCACAGTTATAAGGATGGCATATTACCTAAAGGTACCCTGCTGTCATTTCAGCTATGATTAAGCTATTTAAAATCCAATTCTCTCTATAGCTTTCATATGAAAGCTATAACCTAAT